ATTTTTCTTTTTTTTTTTAAAGGGGGAAATGGATATGAATAAACACCAGAATAAGAACACACCCAAAAGTAAACACTGCCATCAGGGCTGCTTGCTTGTACATAAACCTCATCTTAAAACACAAAAATAGACCGGGCACGGTGGCTCAAGCCTGTAATCCCAGCACTTTGGGAGGCCGAGACGGGTGGATCACGAGATCAAGAGATTGAGACCATCCTGGTCAACATGGTGAAACCCCGTCTCTACTAAAGATACAAAAAATTAGCTGGGCATGGTGGTGCGTGCCTGTAATCCCAACTACTCAGGAGACTGAGGCAGGAGAATTGCGTGAACCCAGGAGGCGGAGGTTGCGGTGAGCCGAGATCGTGCCATTGCACTCCAGCCTGGGTAACAAGAGCGAAACTCCATCTCAAAAAAAAAGAAAAAACACAAAAATAGGGCCAGGCACTGTGGTTCAAGCTTGTAACCCCAGCACTTGGGGAGATCAAAGTGGAAGGATCACTAAAGCCCAGAAGTTAAAGAACAGTCTGGGCAACACAGCAGAACATTTTTTCAAAAATTAGCTAGAGATGGTAGCGTGTGCCTGTAGTCCCAACTATTCCAAAGGCAAAGGCAGGGGGATCCCTTGGCCCAGGAGGTCAAAACTGCAGGGAACTCTGATTGTGCCATGGCAACCCAGTCTGGGCCACAGAACAAGGTCCTGCCTTAAAAACAATTCTCAGCTAGGTACGGTGGCTCACACCTGTAATCCCAGCACTTTGGGAGGCCGAGGTGGATGATCACCTGAGGTCAGGAGTTTAAGACCAGCCTGGACAACACGGCAAAACCCTGTCCCTACTAAAAATACAAAAAATTAGCTGGGCATGATGCAGGGGTGCCGGTTAATACCAGCTACTTGGGAGGCTGAAGGCAGGATAATTGCTTAACCCGGGAGGCAGAGGTTACAGTGAGCTGAGATCGTGTCACTACACTCCAGCCTGGGGAACAAGAGCCTCCATCTCAAAGAAACAATTCTCATTATCTAGATTTGCTAAAGCAAAAAACTAAGATGACAGTACAGATTTCAGCCTTGGGGAATTAAGTACTTAATTCTTGCTTTCTAAACCTAGCTAGTCATTCTATTTTTTTTTTTTATTTTTTTTTGTTGTTGTTGCTTCCATAGGCTAGCAGCTAGTCATTCCATTATATTACCTGGAAAGCTTCTGAAAAATAGGGGTTCAAGAGTGTTTACTGGCCGGGCGCGGTGGCTCAAGCCTGTAATCCCAACACTTTGGGAGGCCGAGGCGGGTGGATCATGAGGTCGAGAGATCGAGACCATCCTGGTCATCATGGTGAAACCCCGTCTCTACTAAAAATACAAAAGCTGAGGCAGGAGAATTGCTTGAACCCAGGAGGCGGAGGTTGCGGTGAGCCAAGATCGCACCATTGCACTCCAGCCTGGGTAACAAGAGCGAAACTCCGTCTCAAAAAAAAAAAAAAAAAAAAAAAAGAGTGTTTAGTAGGTATGGGGTGGCCAATATTTGTGATCCACTAGTCCAAGAAGCAAAATTTAGCATATGACCATAGTAAATCTGGAATCACCATTCAAGTACATTTCTCATCAAGTACTCTGTCACAAGTTCTTTTTCTTTGAGACAGGGTGGCACTCTAGCCCAAGCTGGAGTGCAGTAGCAGGATCACAGCTCACTGCAGCCTTGCTCTCCCAAGGCTCAGGTGATCCTCCTGCCTCAGCCCCTGCTGCGGAGCTGGGAATACAGGTGTGCACCACCATGCCCTGATAAGAGTTAAATTTTTAGTAGATATGTTTTTACCATGCTGCCCAGGCTAGTTTTGAACTCCTGGCTTGAAGCAATCCATCTGTCTCAGCTTCCCAAAGTGCTGGGATTACATGTATAAGCCACTATGCCCAGGACATAAGTTATTAAATGGTTCGAATTACCACTGAAAACACGTGACAGGAATGACTCCAATTATCCTGGATTTCCAAAGCAAGTTTTTTGGTTGTTGTTGATACGCAGTTTCCCTCTTGGCGCTCCAGCTCACCGGAACCTGTGTCTCCTGGGTTCAAGCGATTCTCCTGCCTCAGCCTCCCCAGTAGCTGGGGTTACATGCATGAACCACCATGCCTTTCTAATTTTTTGTGTGTGCTTTTAGTAGAGACACGGTTGTACCACGTTGGCCAGGCTGGTCTCGAACTCCTGACCTTGTGATCCACCTCCCCTACCAAAGTGCTGAGATTACAGGAGTGAAATCACCATGCCAGGCCCAGAAGCTTCTTTATGGTGACCAGGAGTTCCACATTCAATTCATCATGAGAATTGCTTGGGGAGGCGGGGCGTGGTGGTATATGCCTGTAATTCCAGCTACTCGGGAGGCTGAGGAATCTTCCTCTCTACAACTACTGTCATCACCTATCACTATAATTATTAGTTTATATCTGCCACTTCCAATTAGACACTGTGTTCCCTGAAGGCAGGTACCATGACATTCTATGAGAATTCAAATTAAGTTTTGTTGAGGCCGGGTGCAGTGGCTCATGCCCGTCATCCCAGCACTTTGGGAGGCCCAGACAGGTGGATCACCAGAGGTCAGGGGTTGGAGACCAGCCTGTCCAACATGATGAAATCCTGTCTCTACAAAAAAATACAAAAGAAATTAGCTGAGCGTGGTGGCAGGTGCCTGCAATCCCAGCTACTTGGAAGGCTGAGGCAGGAAAATCGCTTGAACCTGGGAGGCGGAAGTTGCAGTGAGCTGAGATCCCACCACTGCACTGCAGCCTGGACAACAAAGTAAAACTCCATCTGGCCTGAAGAAGCGGGGAAAAAAAGGGCTAGGCATAGCAGCTCACACCTGTAATCCCAGAACTTTGGGAGGTGGAGGTGGATGGATCATGAGGCCAGGAATTCAAGACCAGTCTGGTCACCATGGTGAAACTTCGTCTCTAAAAATTAAAAAAGTTTGTTGTGCCGAGCGCGGTGGCTCAAGCCTGTAATCCCAGCACTTTGGGAGGCCGAGACGGGTGGATCACGAGGTCAAGAGATCAAGACCATCCTGGTCAACATGGTGAAACCCCGTCTCTACTAAAAATACAAAAAAATTAGCTGGGCATGGTGGTGTGTGCCTGTAATTCCGGCTACTCAGGAGGCTGAGGCAGGTGAATTGCCTGAACCCAGGAGGTGGAGGTTGCGGTGAGCTGAGATCATGCCATTGCACTCCAGCCTGGGTAACAAGAGCAAAACTCCGTCTCAAAAAAAAAAAAAAAGTTTGTTGGAAGGACTGGACTCATGGTAACACTTTTTTTTTTTTTTTTTTTTTTTTTTTTTTGGAGAGCTAGGTAAGAGATGGATTCTATGCTCCCAAGGCTGGTCTCCAACTCCTGGCCTCAAGCAAGCCTCCCGTCTGGGCCTCCCAAAGTGCTCGGACTGCAAGTGTGAGTCACTGCTTCTGGCAGTAATTAATGCTTCTTGAAAGCTGACAAGTTTTGTATTATTATTTGGTCAGCTACAGCTATTCAATTCAGTATCTGAGAAAAGCCAACATGTTTTCTCGTCTCAGATAAATTACAAAATCATTATTTTGCCTTACTTTGCAGCCTAGAAAAAGTGTCACCAAGGCCGGGCGCGGTGGCTCACTCCTGTAATCCTAACACTTTGGGAGGCCGAGGTGGGTGGATCACCTGAGGTCAAGAGTTCAAGACCATCCTGGCCATCATGGTGAAACCCCATCTTTTAAAAAGAAAAAAGAAAAAAAAAAATTTCACCAAGAGGTTTTGATCACATGGTCTCTCCGGGTGACTGAAGAACGGAAAACAGAAAATCAATATGAGAAATCTACATTGAAGACACATCAAAATAACGTTCAGGAGAGTCATGTCACCTGGTTACATCTGGAAGCCACTGGGCAGTTAGGCTGGGCCACTCCAGGGCATGGGTCATCACCAAGTCATAAAGAAAAGGAGTGTTCTTTTTCCATATTTTGTACTCCTCGTTGATCACTCGTTCTTCCACTGCGTCGTCGAAGGCTGCTAAAATTTTTCAAACAAATTAAGTCAGCAAACAAACGGAAGCCGAGTAAACATCTGCAAAGCTACCAGCACGACTCCTACATCCTGACTCTGAAATGGAGGGGATTTGTCTAAATCCCTACGGCGCGGACACCCACACTCCACCTTCGCGGCGCCGGAACTCGGGCTATGCCCGCCAGACACTCCGTTACCCGTTCCAGGCCACGGCGCCAGGCCCTCCGAGCACGCTCGCGCGCGCAGAAACTCACAAGCCCGACGAGGAGGCCGGAGCTCCGAGCCTTGTAGGTAGGAAGCGGGGTCCCAAGGATCGGGACAGAGGCCGAGAGACCGAATTCGGGGACGGGAGGAGGAACAAACACCCCGCCGGGGACCCCACCGCCGGCTTTGCCAGCGGCGACAGACAACGGTCCCAGGGAACCGGCGCGCCGTTAGCCCGCCCGGAGGGGAGTTCTCTCCTCACGCCTTCGGTACCGGAGACTGCACTCGGCAAACTCAGGCCTGCCCTCACTGTTAGGCCGTGTCGAGGCCGCGGCGCAGTCCCGGCTCCCCCTGCCCTCCTCGGGCGGTCCCAGTACCCTCACCTTCCTTGTCGGCCATGGCTAGCAAGCGAGCCGAGGGAATCCTGGGGTCGAGCGTTGCGGGAGGGGCGGGGAGGCTGAAAGCGCTCGCTCTACGCGCGGGGCCTCTATTGTTTCCTGCGCCCCCTGCGTAAGGTCCGACTCGCGCACCTTCGCGCCAACATCAGCCAATCGGAGTGCTCCTAACGGCCAGGTGGGCGGGGAAGCCGTGTTCGCGACCTATCCAGACGTGCGGAGTAGCGTACCGCGGGACCGAGGCGCGCTCTCCGCCCCTCCCCCCCTCCCCCCACGCCTCCCAGAGCCGACTTCCAGCGACTGCAAGCGCCGGGGTTGACGGGACTGCTCCCGGCCAGGATCACGTGAGAGGTTTAGTCCACACACTCCCGCTGCCCGAGGGCAGCCATTTTCTTGAAGGCTGTTAAGCTTACGAACCTTTCAGAGTACTGAGATTAAAAATCTAGAATGCCTTTGGGTCTAATGATCAATTTTGGGGGTGACAGGGAGAAAAGAACCTCGCCATTCAGACCCAGAAGGGTTTCATTCAAGGTGCCCTTCAAATGCTTTTCCTTAGTCTTTAGAAGGAACTAGTAATGAAGGAAGCGCAGAAGATGAGGTTTTGGCCTTTTAAACATGTCATCCAAGCGGCAGGGTAGGAACTAAAGTAGGTCGACAGTCAAGTCTGAAAACGGTGTGTGGCCCTTTAAGGATGTCTGCCAAGAGGCGGAGTCTAGAGCGGAAGTAGTAACGGGCCGAAGTCCCGCAGATGAAGGGCGGAAGTAAGAATGTCTAATCCTGGCAGTCATGGCGCAGGAAGAGGAAGATGTTAGAGATTACAATTTGACTGAGGAACAGAAGGCGATCAAGGCCAAGTATCCGCCAGTCAATAGGAAGTACGAGTGTGAGTAGGTGGCTTACTTCTGTCTTCAGACGTGGGCACACAGGCATCCCCTCTCCTTACCCGCGGCTTCCTCCTGCTGCTTCTGGTTTGCCCCACGGGTGCCTCAAGCATGATCCCATTGTGTCCCGTACTGTAGTCTCGTTCGTACTTGTCCTGGAGATGCTGCAGTAAAAAGCCACCTGGTTTAATAGTCGCGAAACCTGGCCTCCCACATTTGCAGTCTCTTGAACCTGTTCCACATGTGCCTGATCACATTTATCTTGGTGATTTCTAAAGATAATTATATTTTCCGGCTTTTGAAAGGTTGTTGCCCCCTTGTATCTCCCAACAGTGAGATAGAGTGTGCCAGGTTAGAGGACTCAGAAAGCTAATTAGGGGATATCTAACTTGACGTTTCACCTTGGTCATATTAGTAAAAAGACCTGGTTTTGACATTTATTTATGACAATTATTTTTTTAAATGATTGTTTTAGGCCGGGCACGGTGGCTCACACACCGTGAGCCGAGATCGCACCATTTGCACTCCAGCCTGGGCAACAAGAGCGAACAATGTCTCAAAAAAAAAAAAAAAAAAAAAAAAAAAATCTAGGCTGGGCGCGGTAGCTCATGCCTGTAATTCCAGCACTTTTGGGAGGCCGAGGTGGGCGGATCACGAGGTCAAGAGATCGAGACCATTCTGGCCAACATGGTGAAACCCCGTCTCTACTAAAAATACAAAAATTAGCTGGGCGTGGTGGCGTGCGCCTGTAATCCCAGCTATTTGGGCGGCTGACCCTGGAGGTGGAGGTAACAGTGAGCCGACATTGTGCCACTGCACTCCAGCCTGGCGCCTCGCGACAGAGTGAAACTCTGTCTCAAAAAAAAAAAAAAAAAAAAAAATCTGTATTAAAGGTTAAGCTATCATCATCCCTAAAGTTGGCGGGGTTTGTGGAGCGCAAATCTGACTATCTGCTAAAAATTTTTTTTTTTTTTTTTTTTCAAGTTAATGAATGACAGCTTTATTTTTCTTACACTTTTAAGGCTGAACCTTCATTTAAATTGAAAAGTATGATAATTGTATTTACTCATTAAATATTATTAAAGTTTTCTAAAACACAACTTGAAAACATCCAGCATGCCTGTTTAATATCAGTACAATAAATTCAAGACCAAGTATACATGTTACATGCAGCAAGGCTAGATTACAAATTATCATAGTCATCGTCATCATCATCATCATCATCTTCATGTTTTCTTTTTAATGCATTTGATGATTCATTGGCAGTATTTTGTGATGATACCATATTAGTGGTATCATCACAAAACTAATTTCTCATCGTCCTCTGTAAAATCTGCTTATTTACCATAGCATTCTAGGTTCTGTGCTTTCTGGACCTGGCATACCTCCCTAGCATATCTCTTTTCACGCGCCTGTAAACCCAGCACTTTGGGAGGCCAAAGCAGGCGGATCACCTGAGGTCAGGAGTTCGAGACCATTCTGGCCAACATGGTGAAACCCTTGTCTCTACTAAAAATACAAAAATTAGCCAGGCGAAGTAGTGGGCACCTGTAATTCCAGCTACTAGATAGGCGAAGACAGGAGAATTGCTTGAACTTGGGGGACAGAAGTCGCAGTGAGCCACGATCTTGCCATTGCACTCCAGCCTGGGCGACAGAGTGAGACTCAGTCTCAAAAAAAAATTATTCTTAATAGGTCACATATATTGATTTGAAATTCAAAAAGTATAACATATGCAGTGAAAAGTAACTCTAGCAGCCCGGATCCCCAACCACCTAGTCCCCTCTGTAGAGCAGTCATTGTTACCTTTTTCTTACATATACATACCTACATGTTCTAGTCTTTAACCAATTTTCAGTTGATGGACATTTAGGCTATTTCTACTCTTTTGGTGTTAGGAACAGTGCAGCATTGAATACACTTGTACATCCATTGTTTTGTACATATGCAAATGCAGCTGTAGAATCAAGTTCTCAAAATTAAATGGCTTTGCCAAAGGATATATGTATTTTTTTTGTTTCCACTGTTAAGACTCAAGCATTTTTTTAAAAGGATGTATGTATTTTTAACTTGGACAGTTGCTCTCTACAGCAGTTGTACCAGTTTATACTTTAAGTAGTATTGTATGAATGTGCCTCTTTCTTCCCACTTTTACTAATTGTTACCATGCTTTTTGGTCTTTTCCAATTTGCATATTTCATTTTTCTCATTATAAGTGAAGCTGAAAATATTTTAGCGTTTTGGAAGCTATTTGTATTTCCCATTCTAGGTGTGCATGTTAATATTCTTGGCCCTTTTTTCTCTTAGGTTATTTTTTTCCTTTGGGTTATTGGTTTTTCTTACTATGCAAAAAGTATTTTTATGTAGTGCGGTTCATTAATCAGTGGTCCCCAACCTTTGTGGCATCAGAGACTGGTATCATGGATGGCAGTTTTTCCATCAACAGGGGTTTTTGGGGAGGATCATTTCAGGATGATTCAAGCACATTACATTTACTGTGCATTTTATTTCTGTTAGTATTACATTGTGATATATAATGAAATAATTTTACAACTCACCATAATTTAGTATTACATTGTGATATATAATGAAATAATTTTACAACTCACCGTAATACAGAATCAGTGGAAGGCTTGAGCTTGTTTTCCTACAACTAGATGGTCCCATCTGGGGGTAACAGATTATCAGGCTTTAGATTCTCATAAGGAGCACACAGCCTAGATCCCTGGAATGTGCAGTTGACAGTAGAATTCAAGCTCCTTTGAGAATCTAATGCTGTGCCTGATATGAAAGGAAGCGGAGATCATACAGTAATGTGAGCAATGGGGAGTTGTTGTAAATACAGAAAAAGCTTTGTGAGCTCACCTCCTGCTGTGCTGCCTGGTTCCTAACAGGCTACCAACTGGTACCAGCCTGGGGGTTGGAGACCCCCCTTTATTTAACCCTTTATTTCATTTTATTTTATTTTTGAGATGGAATCTCACTCTGTTGCCCAGGCTAGAGTGCAGTGGTACGATCTCTTCTCACTGCAACCTCCACCACCCAGGTTCAAGTAATTCTCCTGCCTCAGCCTCGGAAGTAGCTGGGATAACAGGCACCCGTCACCATGCCCAGCTAATTTCTTTTGTATTTTTAGTAGAGACAGTGTTTCATCATGTTGAACCGGCTGGTCTCAAACTCCTGACCTCAGGTGATCCACGTGCCTCAGCCTTGCAAAGTGCTAGGATTACAGGCATGAGCCACCGCACCCGCCCAACCCTTTTTTTCCTTTCTTTCTTTCTTTTTTTTTAGAGACAGAGTCTTGCTCTGTCACCCAGGCTGGAGTGCAGTGGCACCACCTCAGCTCACAGCAACCTCCACTTCCTGGGTTCGAGTGATTCTGTCTCAGCCTTCCAAGTGACTGGGATTACAGGGGCCCACCACCATGCCCAGCTAATTTTTTTGTGTTTTACCATGTTGGCAAGGATGGTCTTGAACTCCTGGCCTCAAATGATCCACCCACCTCAGCCTCCCAAAGTGCTAGGATTACAGGCATGAGCCATCATGCCTGGCCAACCTTTTGTTTTATGATTTCTAAGATAAGATAAGATGTCATACTCGAGGAAGGTGTTGCCCACTCTGAGATTTTAAAATAATTTTTCTGTGTTTCCTTATATACATTTGAAAATAAAACTTTTATTGAATAACCTGTGGCAAGGCCTGGTGGCTCACAACTGTAATCCTAGCACAGAAGGAAGGCTGAGGCAGGTGGATCACTTGAGGCCAGGAGTTGGAGACCAGCCTGGCCAACATGGCAAAACCCAGTCTCTACAGTGAAGTATGAAAATTAGGCTGGGTGCCGTGGCTCATGCTTGTAATACCTGCAGTTTGGGAGGCCAAGGCAGATGGATCACAAGCTCAGGAGATCGAGACCATCCTGGCCAACATGGTGAAACCCTGTCTCTACTAAAAAGCAAAAAAAATTAGCAGGGCATGGTGGCTCGTGCCTGTAATCCCAGCTACTTGGGAGGCTGAGGCAGGAGAATCACTTCAACTAGGGAGTTGGAGGTTGCAGTGAGCTGAGATCGCGCTACTGCACTCCAGTCTGGCGACAGAATGAGACTCCACCCCAAAAATAAATAAATAAAATAAAGAATAAAATTAGGCTGGGCACGGTGGCTCACACCTGTAATCCCAAAACTTTGGGAGGCCGAGGTGGGTGGATCACGAGGTCAAGAGATTGAGACCATCCTGGTCAGCATGGTGAAACCCCGTCTCTACTAAAAATACAAAACATTAGTTTGGCATGGTGGCACATGCCTGTAATCCCAGCTACTCAGGAGGCTGAGGCAGGAGAATTGCCTGAACCTGGGAGGCGGAGGTTGCAGTGAGCCGAGATCGTGCCATTGCACTCCAGCCTGGGTAACAAGAGCGAAACTCCGTCTCAAAAAAAAAAAGAGAATAAAAATTAGATGGGTGTGGTGGTACATGTCTGTAATCCCAGCTACAGAGGATACTGAGGCAGGAGAATTACTTTAATCCGGGAAGTGGTGTTTGCCTTGAGCCAAGATTGTGCCATTGCACTCCAGCCTGGGCAAGAGTAAGATTCTGTCTCAAAAAATAAAATAAAATCTAAATTTTTTTTTTCCCTGAGACAGAGTCTCGTTCTGCTACCCAAGCTGAAGTGGTGCAGTGGCGAGATTTCGACTCACTACAACCTCTGCCCCTGGACTCAAGTGATCCTCCCACCTCAGCCTCTTCAGTAGCTGGGATTACAGGCGTGTACCAGCTTACCCAGCTAATTTTTAGTAGAGATGGAGTTTCACCACATTGGCCAGGCTGGTCTCGAATTCCTGACCTCAAGTGATCTGCCCGCCTTGGCCTCCCAAAGTGTTGGGATTACAGACCTGAGCCAATGCACCCGGCCAAAATACATCTTTTATTGAAGTATAATGTACTTACAGAACGGTGCCCATGTCATAAGTGAATTTTCAGAAACTGAGTATACTTGTGTAATTAGTAT